GCTACGGTCCTCACCGTCCCAGGACAGCTTCCCAAGATTACTGTCAGCGCGAGACAAACGACGTTGTACTGGTAAAGAGACGCACAAGTTGTCGTTAAAGCGGGCGTCGATCGACATTAAATAAAAAAGAGTGTGAGGATACTAGACTACGGCGAGGCGTGGTAGAGCTGGCGAAAATGCTGCGCGCACACGCCCTTTCGCCGAACCTTTTTCGTGCACGTGGCAATCTCACAGGGCCGGCCGCCGCCGTGCTTGATGCAAAAGCCGCTGCCGCGGTCCTTGGACTCGCAGTTGGGGGCCTTGCACGCGCGCTTGCCGCCATGGCGATGGCAGAGGCCAAAGCGCTGCGAGACGCGGTCGCAGCCGTCCATGTTGCAGCAGTATTTGGGCACGGTCTTCTTGGGCTTGACGACGTCGATCTGCTTCTCTTCGTCGTCCGTAGCGTCGGTCGTACTGAGGAGAAACGAAATCGGGATGGACCGGAAGAGCGTCGGCGGCGTCGTCTCGTTGAGGAGCAGCGTCACAAGCATCGTCGTACGTCAAGTGCAAAATTGAAAATGACACACCATGCTACAGGATACGAAGCGGTTTAGTTATCGGTGTCCTGTCTTCGTCCGGCTGGAAGCAACACCAGCTGCAGCGCGTGTTCACGCCACGACCAGCAATGGACGGTACTTAAATACGGTCTTTGTATGCTCTCTTGTGAGTAAACGCCGCCAGATGCTCTCGTGTCGGGGGATGATGACGTGGGACCGGCCCAGTCTCTCACCAAGTACGTGGCCAATGCGGTGCTAATGCAGCCGCTATGTGCTTGGAATCCGGCGATTGTTGGCGCAAGGACGTGGTCCCACGAGTTTGGCACGGCACCAAAACCCCAACTTGTTGAAGTCCTGGCGCGTCGTCCCACGGCAATGAGGCTTCGGCGAACCTGCTGGGTGCGAAAGAAGACGTCGGGAACGTGCAGCGTCGTATGGCCGACCCCACGAGGCCGTCCTTTCTCGAAGACAGACGTGGTGACGGGTCGCAAGTGGTCCATCCAGTCGAGCAACAGCAGAATGCCTCTGGCGCGAATCTGTTCCAAGCGGCGTGACTATATGCAGTGTACACTCATGGTGTACACTAAACCAAACGAGTGTCTTTCCTGTTTCACGTTAGTACCACGATGATTCCGCCAGCCGTTCTCGACTACGCAACCATCCCACTCTAGGCAGAAACGGGTTTGTATGCACCGCAAGGATGGATGGAGGGTGCGAACCGGCGTCGACTCGACGACATCGCAGAAGCCTTGGCGCCGACCTATTTTGCGGCAGCCATTTACAAGACACTGCCGGCCGCCGCCATGCTTGATGCAAAAACCGCGACCTCGGTCCTTGGTTGCGCTGGGTGGCATCTGGCAGACTCACTGTCGCCGTGCCGGTGGCACAGGCCGTGGCGGTCGCACCCGTCTACGTGGCAGACGTACGGCTTGGTCGTTGCCTTCTTCTTTTTTGTACGTGGCGAGGCAGCGGGAGAGGACGACGGGAAGAGGACAACGTCCAACGCGCTTTGCCACTGGTGTTTGCCCATGAGGACGGCGCATCGGCAACTGGGCGACAATTGCATAGTCCCGCGCACTTGGACATGCCCCGGTCCACGCTGCAAGCGTGTTGGATGTACTAGCATCGGTAGCAGGAGCAAGGCTGCGTATTACCGTGACTCGCTTCTTGGCCGAGATTAGCCATGCCAAGCCAACCCTGCCTTCGTGCCAGAGCCCGGCACCGGTGCGGATGCTGATCCAGCGTCGTTCAGAGCCGCTGTGCGGTGGCGTCTCAGATGGACACTGCTGCGCGCCTGTGCCTGGAAGCACCCTTGTCGTAGCTTGTAGACAGGTCCGCTTCCCGCAACGACACCGTCAGCACCGCTACACGCGCCTATGGGAGGTGCCTGCTGACGCTGCATACTAGTACAGGCGACGCCCGCCACGTCCGTCATCCTTCCGGACGGTGGTACCATTTTCGATGCGTCAACACAAGAAGAATCGACGAAGCTCACAGGTCTGGAAGGCGCTCGGAAAGGCACATCAACCTGCAGGCCGGTACGAATGCACTTCGTAACAGTGAGGTGTCTTGTAGTTGGCCTCGACGGTCAACCCAACCACTCATCCTCGAGAACCGCACATCCATCCGTGGGCAGGCCGCACTCCTTCCATCATCATTCGACGTTGTACTCGGGTCATCTGCGACTAGCCAAGATCCTAGCACAGACAAGAATGTTCTGACATATCGATGCATACAACAGCCTTAGCCACAGCCTTTGCAGCAGCCTTATGCCACAACAACAAAAAACATTGTACAATGCATTTCTTCAATCATGGCTCGTCTCACAGCGAGGACGGCTGCAGCGTCACTTGGTAGCCCTGGAGGTTGCGAGCGCGGTAGCAAGCGGCCGTGTGCAGGAGGTAAAACTCCCACGTCCGGCGAAAGCTCTCGGGCAGTTCGCGCACATAGCTCTCGGTCCACGTCGCTTGGAACGCGTCGTTCCAGGCCACATACGTCTTGTCGTAGTGGTCAGCGTACGAATGCGCCTCGAGAATGGTCCAGCCGACCGACACGAGCGCTGCCTTGACCTACCCCTCTCGTCTCAGCACTCACCAGGACGACATGAATACCGTCGAGTAGGACACCGCCACAAACGGCTGCCGCGGTACAATGTGCTTGTTGGACCACGCGTGCGTGTTGGCGCGTGTCGGCGACGCGACAAAGTCGAGCAAGAGTCGGCCATTTTGAGACAACTTGTCGCGGAGGAGCGAGAGCAGCCGCGGCATCTCCATCGCCGGCAGCACTTCGAGGACGTGGCCGGCCGCGATCGCTTGGAACCGCTTCGGCAAGAGTGTGCTCAGTGCGTGCGCCACCTACAAAGGCGTCGCCGTCAGCGCGCACAAGCGTTTGGCGGTTGTACGTCCAAGCCGGGCTCGACCACGAGCCGGTGCACTTGGTCCGTGAGCCCGGCGCGCTGCGCAATCTTGACAGCGATCGCTTCGTCCGACCGCGACCCGAGGATCGAGAGCACATGCACGTTGTAGTACTTGGCAAAGAAGACACCGACGCCACCGCACGAGGCGAGGTGCAGGTCCAGCACGTGGTCGCCGGGCTGCAGCTGGAGCTTCTCCGCCATCATGTGCAGCGTGCGCTCTTGGGCCTCGACGACGGTGTCGTGCGGCGACGCCCAGAGGCCAAACCCGTGAAAAAAGTACGGGCTCGATGCCATGTACGGCTGACGAAACGTCGCACTCACGTCGTACTGCTCGGCCACCTGTACCTTGCGTAAACGCTAGCCATCAGAACGTAGTGCATTGTACCGGCGCGCCAATGAGTCCGGCCGACGACGGCGGGTAGCTAAAGATGCGCGCCGCAAGCGACACGACGCGTGCGTACCACGACTGGTACATTTCTCTACAGTCCACAACGAAATCGACACGTGGGATACGATCAAAATGGAGGCTACCGGCGCGCCTCGACGGGCAGTGTCAACAGCCGAAGCACGATCGAGTCGAGTGTCTGCTGGCCGTTCGGGTTGACCTCCCACTGCCCCGAGACGAACGAGTCACCAATCGCGACCAGCCCGTCACTCATCCAGTCGAGCCAGAACGCGTGGTCTTGCACAACAATGTCCTGCGAGAAATGAGCAAAAATGAGCAAAAATGAGCAAAAATGAGCAAAAATGAACAAAAAATTGACAAAAATAAGCGACGACAAGAGGCGACGACGTACCCAGGGTGTATCGGGGACTGTTGTTGTCGCATCGGGGTTGGCAACTTGGATTTCGCCGTGCTGGAGGAGACGGTGCATGATGGTGGCGGCCGCGCCGCGGATCTTTGGTAGCAGAAGCGACCGCAGCACTTGCATGGTCATGACAATGGCACCAATGAGCAGCGTAAGCGAGTACATGAAGAACGAGCGCTAGACACATATGAGCTGCGACTCGACAAGGGACCGGGTGTACGGCGCAGACAAGACAGGCCAAGATGGGCACGCTAGTACACAGAAGCAGCTCCATCTTGTACAGGGCGGCCCAAAACTGCGGCGAGCGCGGCGGTGTAAACTCGTACGGCAGGTGCCTACCGCGCACAGTGAGAGAGGGCGCGTAGCGTGAGATACGATGTACAGGCGAGACACGACGGTTGGCATCACCAGGCTCGGGTGGTGCACGACGTAGACCAAGCCGAGCGACAGTGGGCTCATCCAGAGCTGAATCGCGTCCAAGTACTTGACGAGCAGATAGCACGGCAGCACAATGTGGAAGGCGCCGTCGACAAGGCGCAAGGCCACGGCGAGTGTCGGCGACGATGCCCAGACGCCGACCTCGGCGTGCAAAAGGGCGGTGAACGCGTACCGATCGAGCGTCCGGAGGCTGTACCACGTGATCATAAAGGCAACGCCCAGCGACGTCATGAGGCCAAGCCCAGCGGCCGAGCCCGTCGCGTACGCGGTCGCGGTGGCCACGACCCAAGCGAGGTCGGCGCTGTATGAGCACCCGAGCATCAGATCCGGCAATGAACCTTGCCTCGTATTTGCGGCACATGCCATGTTGGAGAATGCCAACATGCCGAAAATAAATCAAACGGCCATCTTGGAAAGGCAGCCAGCTATGGCGACGACAACGGTCGTGTACGAAGTGACCAACTACTGCGACGCCGAGAGTGTCACATTGCTGCTCGCCTACATGCGCGGCGGGCACCTCCAGGACATGCTCGCGACGGGCTGCTTTACCAAGGCCGAGTTTGAGCAGTGCCACCCAACGACATTCCGCAGCCGGTACACAGCGCCGTCGCAAGCCGCCGTCGACACGTACCTCGCCGAGCACGCGGCCGCGATGCGCGCCGACTTTCAA